GTTAGTAATTAGGAGTTGATTTGTTAATTGTTCAAGAGAAAGTTAGCGAAATATTAGGGAGTTTGGTCTTTAGAATGAGCTTAATTGGGTTAACAATAATTGTCAATGCATAGGATTAAATTGGTGTGAAATCTATGCCCTAGGTTTAGTCGTATTGATTTCTTACTAAAGTATTAATAAAAGTCTGTTTTTGTTTTGTTTTTAAGTTGTTTTATTTCTCATTGAATCATTCTAAAAATCTAATTAATCAAATGGCAATAAGATAGGTTAGTGTTGTACTTGGTATTAGTAATTCTCTTGGGTTCGATATCCGTATTTATACACTTTATTACTTGCACGATTTTGTACAATTGCGAAAATCAACAACACCCCTCCTTTGAAAAGATATCACACTCTGGCTTCGTTAAAGGATTGATCTTTCCAAAAGGAAGAGGAGAAATAATCCTATAGCCATTAAAGGTAATGAGATTGCTAGGAAATGGGTGATCCATAGAGAAAACTATGAATAACAAGATGATGTAAAAAATCTGGCGGCTAAGAGCGCTGCATCAAGGAAAAAGGTTAACCATTTTCTAAATGAAAGACCTTGTGAATCCCTTCCTTCTGATGATAACACTTGAGCTTGATTCTCTTAGATAATTGGCATAATAGCCACTGGAGAAGGCACTTGATACCTTTCTAAATCACAATATATCTACTAATCTTAATCTATAACAAGAATTCAGGACAAAGAATAGAAGAAAATCAAAAGATAAAGATGTAGAACAAGTGTTTGAAGATAAGACCACCTAAATTAGTAAATAGGAAAAAGGTAATTGAAGTTTATTCTTAACTAAACATTTCCTCTTTTCCAACTTAGGATGCTTTCCAACTGAAGGAAAGGAAACCTTCGTAAACCATATTGAGAAGGTGTAGTAAAGATAAGCATCAATTTGTCATGTGTATTGTATTACCAGTTGATAATTTCCTGCCTAAGACAAGGGTTAATAAGGGGGAATTGTGAGAGCTATAGTTCTATGTACATGTCAAGTAGTTGTTATGTGTATAACATTCTTTTTAATTCAAACATTTACATATTGAGAAGAATAAAGTATAGACATCAACATGTAAGAATCAATATGATTGCCAATAGGAGAATCTTTCTTCAAATACTATGAAGTTTTTTCTTCAAATTTTGTTATCTATATATGCTGCTAATTTAGAATAATTAGTCTAACACTTATAACTTCAACAAAAGTCTGAGCACAAGTTTCTTCCAGAGAATTCTCTAGAATCAATTCTTTTGATTGAACATTGTTTCATTTCCTACATTTTTTCATTGACCATTCTTATTAAACCTGATAAACTAGAGTAAATCACATATGAGTAAATCCGACCACAAAATAAACATGGACTGAAATAGGCTAGAAATCCTAATATTTCCTTCTCTTTTCAGACATACAAAATGACTAGCATGGAAAGGCATGGATGAAAATTAAAACTCAAATATTGACTACCATCAAGGGAAGCTTTAAGAGGGCCAACGAACTCAGGAAAGTCAATTTCTTCAATTTCTTTTAATACATCATCAGCATTAATAGTTTGCCTCTTTGACTCCTTGCATATATCATTAGCCCTGCAAGTAATTTTCACCCCATAAATGTAATAACTGCTGTATACTAATAAAATACATGTAGAATAATAAAAGTAAAAGGGCCAAAAAATTTGTCTTGTATTATGTATATACATTCTTTGTACAAAAGAGTATCATTTACAAAATGCCATTCAAAATAGGGGACAGTGTGGCTATTGCTCCTCGCTTGCTGACGTCCAACCGATTGCAACATCACCTAGATCCTGTAACCACAAAGGAAAAATAACGGGTGAGCATAAAATAATGCTCAGTAAGTCCTCTACTTGTCTATCCCCGTAACTATTTCTCTTAATTCTTTCCTTACACTATTTATGTTCCCGTTTCTCTTTCACACAGCTTTCTTTTTATTAACCTCTGCTACAAGTCATGGCCTCATCTTGCTGGAGGCACGGCCGGGTGGAGTTCACATAGCGCCAACCCACTCTTCGTGACTTTCGGGTGAAGATCACAAAGCATCAACCCATCTTTCGTAACTATCGGGTGGAGATCACAAAGCATCAACCCGTTTCACATAACTATCGGGTGGAGATCACAAAACATCAACCCTTTTCTCATAACTATCGGGTGGAAGTCACAAAGCACCTACCCGTTTTCATAACTATCTGGTGGAGATCACAAAGCACCTACCCCTAGCACTTCTTATTCTTTCTACTCTTACAGTAGTTCATTCACAAAGTTTTCTACTCTTTCTTAAGTCACACCTTAATGCATAATTAAGATATATGGATGGTTCATCTCCACTAATGCACTTATGAGATGCCAACATGCAAAATTGCAAGTATTTAGGCTTATTATTCATACTCAAACCTCTCTTAGGCATTTCATCAAACAACTCAAGTGCATATAAAGACTATACTATAACAATAGCTCTATTTCTTTCTCTAACCNGAAGATGAATTTTTCAACTTAAATTGGCAACTAAACCGAATTTAGTTGCTGTATATAATTTTTTGCAACTATTGTTAATATGAACACAAATATTTGTTGCTAAAAATGCTTTGGGACCCTTGTAATTATTGTCCAAATATGGGATATTTTGGTAATTTAATTTTTCTGTAACTAATCATAATAGTTACTAATACATTCTTAATTAATCGCAACTAATTTAGCTACTAACGAGTAGTTGCAAAAAAATGTTTTTTGTAACTAATAATGTAGATGCAAAATAAAATATTTTAGATGCAAATTGTCAAATTATGAAGAGAAAAATGGCCCACCAAAAATTGCAACTAAATTTATTAGTCACTAAAATAACTTATTCTACAACTAACAAAATAGTCACAGAAAATTAACTTTAGACGCCAAAAGTTGCAATATGTGGACCCCAAAACTGAGTCGCTCTTTGCCCGACTAATGGCAATTTAGTTGGTAAATGTAGCATTTTTGTAACTAATTCTGGTTAGTTGCTAAAAAATTGGTTGCAGAATGTAGTTTTTCTTGTAGTGATCCTTCCTACGGAACGACCATTGAATGACCATTCCGTATACGATGAACGACCGTTCATCCCTAAGGTACGACCGTTCATATCTAGTCAAAGCCATGAGTTGACATGGTAATACAAACTCAGTGCCACATCGAGTTTGTGAGAAAAAGTTTGTGAGATTCGTTTGTCAGCGTAATATTACCCTTACTTAAATTACAAAGATCACCCATTGTATTTATATGAAAAAAATAGACCCTAATCTCAATATCGTTTAGTTTTTGTCCTTGAAACAAAGTATTGATGAAATTTCCATCTTTTTAGCAGGGTAGTATTGACATTTCAATTTTTTGATATTTTTAATTTTATTTTTCTTTCTTTTCTCTTCTTCTTCCTCCACTTTTCTACTGTAGCTTCCATCATCTTTGTCCTAACATTTAGCCTTTTGCAGGTGTGGTGAGGCCAAATCTGGCTTTCAAAGGTGAACAAATCTCACCCGCCGCACCCCACCACCCCCCGCGGTGAACTTGTGGACCTGAAATTTTCAGGTTCAAGTCATGTCAAGGTACACATTTAAACTAACCATTCACATTCACTTTCGCAGCTTGGCGTGCTAAAATTATTATTATTATTATTTTTTTTTTTTTTCTGGTGATCGGAGTGTTTAAGCGAACTTGCTTGCACTTCAACTAATTCTCGAGATCCATTGTAGTTTGCTTCCTCTAGTAATTGTTATATAAATTAGGATACTCAATTGGTGCAAATTTTGGAGTAGCTTCAACTCATAGCATCATGGAGATTGGAGATGGTCCTGATATGGAATCCTGGGATTTATTCAATTTTACTGAGCAAAGGAATCTCACAGCTAGCAGTGATATTGGTATGACTTATGAGCAAATGAAATTATTGAATTTAGTGTTCCAGATGTGATAAGTTTTTTGCCTTCCAGGCAAACCGTTTGAGACTAATGAGTTCTGATCCATCACAAAAATAAGATAAATTAATGATAGGTTAATGGTTTCCACTTTCCAGTGATGGAGAAATGCCCTGGTTTCTTCTGGAAATGACCATAATATATTCTAATAACTATTTGTCTGTAAAGACTTGGTGATTGTAGACTACATAAAAAGATGTGAAATTAAAAATGGAAACTCTTATCTTCAACTCACTGATATTACCGCTGAGTTCCTTGAGTTTATGAAACAAAATTTGTTATCTTAAAATTTTAATGGAATGGAGATGTTTGAGGATGTAAAATATGTGGGTTTGGGTTGAATTTTTTTATTTATTTTTTTAATTTTTAAAAATGCCTTTAAAATGGGTAAACGGATTGGATTTTTAATCCATGACCTGACCGAATTGGTATTGAGTCGGGCTCACCGGTTTGTGTGACAACCCGCGGATTGTCATGACAGTCCTAAGCCATTCTAGGTTTACGGATAAAGAAGACGAATAGATGATATGATATTAATTGTTGAACCCTAAGGAGTTGACATGATGATAAAATATGTTTGCTCCCTTCATTGAGTTATTGGGTTTAAACCTTAGAGCTACCTATCACATTATGACTTACTAGTTTTTTGGGTTTATAAGGTATTCAATATATCTCAAGTATTAGTGAAGGTGTAAGTAAGCTAGCTCGGACACCCTAGTTATCAAGAAAAAAAATTAAGATAATTAATTGATGAGTGTGAAAGTGATAATTGTCGATTGCTAAAATGAGGAGCAAACAGAGTCCTCCAAATTCTAATTAGTAACTAAAGAATACCCCACTATCGTCCACTCCACTTTAACAAATTGCTGTCATTTGGTTTAATTTCTCCAATTAAGATTCTGTTCCAACTGAAATTAGTAAGGTATAAACTGTACTTAGATTCTTGATTACACATCACTAACAATAATTCTCTCTAAAACCCCGTAACCCTTTTGAAGTTGATGCAAACCCAAATGGCTTTCTCAAACAAATGCCAAGCCTCCCTCCTTATTCTTTTGGCAATTTGGGCCATTCCTGCACTATGCCGTTTTCTAAGTGAGGAATATGTCCTACAGAGCCATGAGGAATGGATGGCTCTCCATGAACGCGTCTATGAAACTGCAGAAGAGAAGGAGAGACGCTATGACATTTTCAAAAACAACTTTGCACATGTTGAAAAGGTTAACAATGGTGTGGACCGTGGATTCAAGCTAGCTATTAATAAATTTGCAGACCTTACTGATGATGAATTTCGTAGTTTGTTCACTGGTTATAAGAGGGAAACCTCTAAAACAAAAACCAAACCAGAAACCAAATCTTTTCTCCATGGAAACTTTACTGACGTTCCAACTTATATGAATTGGAGAGAAAAAGGGGCTGTCACCCTTGTCAAGAACCAAGGTAATTGTGGTAAGTAAAATGTCATAGTGTTTTGTGTTTTCTGTATATTTCGGAGTCACTAATTATTTGCTATTGTGAAAAGGTTGTTGTTGGGCGTTTTCAGCGGTGGCAGCCGTGGAAGGAATAAACCAAATCAAAACTGGAAAGTTAATATCATTATCAGAGCAAGAACTTTTGAGCTGTGATACTCAATATAACAAAGGTTGTCTAGGTGGTTCCATGGAGAACGCCTTTGATTTCATGGTAAGCAATGGTGGCTTAACAACGGAGGATGATTATCCCTATGAGGAAAGGCAACAAACTTGCAAAACTGATAAGGCAGCAAGACATGCAGTCCCGATAACTGGGTTCGATTTGGTGTCATCTTATGACGAGGAGGCCTTGTTGCAAGCTGTGGCAAATCAACCAGTTTGTGTTGCGATCGAGGGTAGTGGCAGAGATTTTCGGTTTTATAAAAGCGGTGTGTTCAAAGGGAATTGTGGCACAAATTTAGACCATGGGGTTACAGCCATTGGGTATGGTACTGAATCTGATGGCACAAAGTACTGGCTGGTGAAGAATTCTTGGGGTACTGAATGGGGCGAGGATGGGTTTATGAGGATTCAGAGAGATGTTGAAGCTGAGGAAGGCCTTTGTGGCCTTGCCATTGCACCTTCTTATCCATCTCAGTAATTAAATCTCATTAAATTGTGATATCTGGGTGGTGTTATATACTCTATTATTCCTAAATATTGTTTCAAGATCATGTAGTTTGAATACTATTGGAGACTACGTAAGGTTTGGTGTTGACTAAAACTCCAATATCAATGTACTTGTAAGTTAATTAACTTCTCTTTCAATGGACAACCCAATAGAATTTGCTTACATTTAAGTTTCCTTTATTTTTCTTTGGCTGTGTTGGTGCTTGATTTTGACACCAACTATTCGCACGTGGAAAATGCTAAACGGGCTTAGAAGTCACACGCGATATGAGAATATTTAGTTGAATAATGGGTGACATGTAATGTTTAAAGTGATTCGGATGCTCAAAAGCGAATTCTACGTCCACTGATATTGTATTAATGATTAAGGTCAGGTCGCGTCAGCGAGCTGAGTTACAGCTTAGAAAATACAAGAGAGAGAGAGAGAGAGAGTAAGCCATTCCAGATTGAAATTAGCCAATCCCGCAAATGAGAGAGAAGGCCTCTATTTATAGTGGGATGAATCAAGGTAATGATTACTGAATCTGTAAGTGGGTGGGTACCACGCAGATTCTTCTCTGCGTCCCATTGTTCACCTGCTTGAGTGATTTCCTTGACTTGTGCAGGGATTGGACACGTGGACGATTTCCAACCATCCGCTAACCTGGCATTCACCCACTGCATTGACAGGGGCGCGCCACTCACGTCATCATGCAACGTGGCTGTGTTTGAACGGTCGCGGAACCTTACGAAGTTCTGAGGACCCTATGCCAACAAGACTCTGTGTCAACCCTATTTTTTCAGGCATAACAGGTTGGAACTTTAAGGTTCTACACAACAAATTACTTGGTTGTTGATTTCAAGAAAATGGGTTTTAGGCTTCAAATTAAACTAATAGAACAATTAATAATCGATATAATAAATATAGGTCACATATGTCACGTGGGTTGTCTTCCACTAAAACAACTTTATCTTCAAAAAAAGATGATGAAAAAGGCGAATAAAATTTAATTAAAACCACTACTGGGTGGCTAATGGTAAAAGTACAAGGGAGGATTTAACATGGTCTCTCAAGTTCAAGTCCTCACGACCCTTAATAAGGGTGGGTCAGGTGGCAATTGGAGCTCTTAGCCAGTCGGTAGTTTTAAGGTCTCGGAAGATTAGTTGAGGTGTGCACAAGCTAGCCTGGACACTCTGATCATAAAAAAAAAAAAAATTTAAAATTAATCTTAGATTATTAGATATAGAGATATAATTCTTTTGAGGTTGGTTATTTCTTTGATCGGAGTGGTAGGCTTTGTGTGATGTTATTTTTTTCTTGCTTGCTTATAATACAATAACAGGCTTTTGAGAATAAATTAAGAAAAAAATGCAGGAAGTGAGTAACATCCACAGATGTACCAATAAATTTTACAAAGCTGGAGGTGAAAAGCAAGAAAGGACCAATTTAAATTATAAGTATCATGATTCATGAGCTGAGTTCAAAATTTACATAGACCTTAGCCAGACAATATATTTTCCAATTTGAATCATAATATAGACAACCAATTTGAATCTTCTAATAAGGAGACAATATGTAACCATGAATTTGCATGGCACAAAACGCAGAACATTCATGAATACTTGATTGGCTGATTTGGAAATTACTAAAACAATTTAGAGAGTAATTGAAACCAAACAAGTAAACAATCACACACAAATAACGTAAACAGTAAAGAGAAAGTGTACGCGCGATTTATCCTGGTTTACCTAAAAGACGAGCTACATCCTACAAAGTCAATATTGTTGAAACATCTCATCACCTGTCTCGTTACAATAAATGCATTTTCTTGTGATTTGTTACATATCACTCATACAAGAGAATAATATATTTATATACTAGGTTTAATGAGGTAATTTATTGTTGAAGGTAGTGTGTATGCAAGTGGGACCCGTAAATACGTCTACATCGCCTCTTATTGTTGAAGTAGTCCACAACTCCAACAAATACTATCATTAATTTCTGTCTAATATTTTGAATGACCCACTAAAGAATCACTTTTGAAAGCCATAAGAAGAACCATAAATAATGGTAGATATTATTTTGTAGTTTATTATTGATAAGTCTTGACAAAGGTCTATAAAACATGACCCACTCCAGTCCCCACTAATTTTTAATGAATTATTATTATTATTTTTTTAGAACAGAGACAGGGAGAAAGGTATTTTTCTTGAAGATATGAAGTAATTTATTGGCATCTATTGAACCTCATTCAAGTTATGATAATAGTCATCAAGAGATGTGATTAAGTGTTTAATTCTTTATTTGTGTGTGTTTTCTTCAGTTGTTATCTCTCGTATTGATTGTCCAAGGTGGTGTGTACGCAAGCTGTGACTTTGAGTACGTCAAAATATGAATAAATAAGAACCTCTTTTTTTTTTTAAGTTATAATTTGTCAAAAAAAGAGTTTAAAAAAAGTTTATGCTTGAAATTTTGTTATTTTTCCTATTTACGTAACGTTCACTAATTCATCACAAATATTATATATGTGACCCAAGGACCAGGCCGAGAAAAAAAAATCTTTTATTAATTTAGGAAGGAAAGCTAACTCAAGTAGTCACTACTGTAAGATCTGAAGATCTGAGGTGAGATTTCTAAAGTTGAAGATACAACAAATACAATCATTGGTACACTCAGAAATGAAACAAAACCGGATTTTCGTTATTTCTGTTTTTACCACACAAAATTCCCAATAAAGAAAAAAACACCCAAATTAGTGAATTGCAACAAAACAGCCCGTAAAGACTGTAATTGTGGAAAAAGTAGGAGCACCAAAGCATTTATCGACATATTTCCAACAGCCTTGGAGAAAGAGGAATATAATAGCCGAGAAACCTTCCTTCTTGTAAAATGAAAGACATGAGATCCTCTTTTCATGTATCATTTACCTCCAATTTTTTTTTAATTTTTATTGCATAAAACGCATCATTTCACATATATATATATGTGGTGATTTAAATGAAGAATAATATTACACATTATAAAATATATCTTAAAATAATTTATATCGTAAATGATGTGTCGTCTTATTAGGCATTGATATATTATTTATCAAATAAACATTTTGTTAATTTACATCTCAAGTCAACACCACATAAGGACGAGTTGTTTTAGATATCGTTATCTTGCTCTAGTCTAGATTTTTTCATAAAGATATACTTAAGTAAAATTTTGAGAAATTATAGGTGGCACAAACATATTTTATCAAATAGATGCTATTAAACTTATTAATACTGAACATTTATTTAAGAATTTAACCATCGAGTCAATTAATTACTTAATATGATATCAAAGCTTTAATATGATATCAAAGCTAAAAGTTCGACATTAAAAGGAGGTATATCCTTTTAAGCTTTTGGATCCACCGATCTAGCAGTTTTTTTTTTTTTCCTTGGTGTGTACCTTAATTAATCCTCAAAGTCTATTGAACACCTTACACGTCTTTTTTTGGTGCGCATCTCAACTAACCCCTAAGACCATTAAATATCGTACAAGTCGTCCAATGAGTCAAGTAAGTCACAAATGAGGTAAGTGGTCACTTGGTGGGACTCAAATACAAGACTTCTGGATAACCTTAGGTCTTGTCATCCGGTTACAAGCCAAGTGGTTACCAATCTAGTGCTTTAGGGTCTGCTTGGGAGTTTTTTTTTTTTCCATTGGTTTTGAGGGGATTTTAATTAGACTGATTTTCAGGTATTTTAAAACCATTACTTACCAGATTTTTTATACATTGGTTTTGAATGGCTAAAAAATTCCCCAGAACCAGTGTAGTGTATTTTTTAGGGGTTTATAAAACACCCAAAATCAGGGTGTTTTGGTTGGTTTTAAAATTTTAATTCCACAAATACGCTATCCACAATAAAACAATCGTAATTATATCAAAAAAAAAATAAAAAAAATTAACCATATTATGCGCGTCTCCAACCATATTTAATATAAAATAATTTTATGCAATTATAAAAACAATTATTAAAATTTCATTTCTAGATGCTTTCTTGGAGAAGTGGAGCTACAATTTTTCAATCATGTCAGATCTTGCAAAGAATGGCGAAGAAGGATAAGGAGACTTTATCACATTTGAAGTTATAAAATACTAATAAATAGAAAACTGTTAAATAATGAAGTCTACGACGTTGTTTATAGCCAAGTAAAATGCTGCCATTTTGCTTATTAATCCAAGATTGATCACAACCCTTCAATTAAGGAAGATCTGACGGCTCCAGTTCACTCAGTAGTCAACGATATAAAAGAGGCCATTTCTCTCAGTTTGCTACAGTTCAGTTTTTAGGTTTTAATTCTCTTAGAAAACGCGATTGTAACCTGGCTTAGGGTTTGTCACTCATATTGATTCTTCTCTGTGTGAATCTGTCTAGAGTCTTGTTTAAGGGCTAGGTGTTCCTTAAAGAGTATTGTGTACTCTAATGGTTGTACAGGTTTGCGAGGATAAAGGGAAGAGAGGTGAGTGATTGATTGTGTGGTTGACAGAGAGGGTGAGTTGATTGTAATCTGTATCATTCGAAGTGATTAATCATAGTGCAGCAAGCTCCATATTCTGGAGCTCAACGTGGATGTAACTTGTTCTACATTGAACAAGCGAACCACGGTATATTGTTGTGTGTTGTTTGATTTCTTGTTCTTGTTTGATTTGATTTGAGATTGGTGTTTTGGTTTGAGGATTTAGGATTAGTTTACAACAGTGGTATCAGAGCCTACACTTTAGGGTTTAGATATTCTTGAAATCGATTCAAATTGGGCAAAATCGCGAAATTAGGGTTTTGTCAAATTTGGGGGTTTTGGATTTAGGGAATTTCTTGATCTCTAGGGTCCTGAATCTTGAGTCTTCAGTTAAATTCTTGAACATCAGAGGTTGTTTTATGTCTCAAAAGGTCAAATCAAAGGAAGTTAGTGAAAATCAAGGAACTAAATCTTAGAGTTTTCACTGGACAAAACGA